TGAGTGTCCACAGCTGACCTCTGAGTGTCCACAGCTGACCTCTGAGTGTCCACAGCTGACCTCTGAGTGTCCACAGCTGACCTCTGAGTGTCCACAGCTGACCTCTGAGTGTCCACAGCTGACCTCTGACATGTTGATCCAGGTTTAACCCAACAGGATGAAGAGGACGTGGCAGCAGATGAAGTCAAACACAACAATATAGAACAAACAGGAAGTAGAACTTCTGCTGGTTCTGCTTCATGTCACTCAGACGATGCATTGAGGGGAGGATAAGTTTAGTAAACAATCCAAGTCCAATCCAAAGAATTTGCTCTGAGCTAAGAACACGACTTTGATGAGTTTAACGAACGATGTCTGGGCTGAGAATCCAATTGATTTTTATAATAGACTGATAGATAATAGAAGAAAAATGGAAACGTTCCAACAACAAACTTTAGCTAAATGGTAAAATATCCAGTCTTGGTCTCAGGATTCTCTCCTGGCATCAATGTCTTCAACCAACTGAGCTGTGACGTCACAGACTCCTCAACAAACAGACCTTAAACCTGCTACGGAGCAGGTTTGAACCATAGCAACCAAGTCAGGGTCAGGGTCAGGGTCAGCTTCATGAGTTCCCTCTAATACAGAGTTAACTAACTCTGAGTTAGTACTAAGACCACTTCAAGAACCGGACCCTGGTCCAACATACCTGTTGATGTACTGTGTCAGACCTTCACTGTGGTCTGTACCTAAACCTGGATCACCATGACCAGCGTAGCAGTGGCAGGTCAAAGGTCAATCATAATCTCACCTCATCTGTGGACAGACCAAAGTCGTTGGCAACGACCTGTCTGTACTTAAACCTGCAGGGAAGGTCATCAATGATGTCCTCGTAGTCCAGCTTGTAGTACTCATCCAGGTACTGGTCGAAGCTTCTCTCCTCTGGAAAAAAAAAAACACCGACAGGTAACCACAGACAGGTAACCACCGACAGCTAACCACCGACAGCCAACCACAGACAGGTAACCACAGACAGCTAACCACCGACAGCCAACCACAGACAGGTAACCACCGACAGGTAACCCCCGACAGGTAACCACCGACAGGTAACCACCGACAGCTAACCACCGACAGCTAACCACAGACAGGTAACCACCGACAGCTAACCACAGACAGGTAACCACAGACAGCCAACCACAGACAGGTAACCACCGACAGCTAACCACCGACAGCTAACCACAGACAGGTAACCACAGACAGGTAACCACAGACAGCTAACCACCGACAGGTAACCACAGACAGGTAACCACCGACAGGTAACCACCGACAGCCAACCACAGACAGGTAACCACCGACAGGTAACCACCGACAGCCAACCATTGGCGTTGATTTGTGTTTCTACTTACGAGGGTCAAAAACAGGCTTGTTTTTGGTGATGACCTCAGCAAAGTGGGACTTTTTCTTCTTTTTGCCCATTTGGGGCAGATCCTCTTTCTTCATCATCTTCCTCATCTTCTTCTTCTGCTTCTTGGAGGAGGTCTGCTGACTGGGGTCGTAGTCCGCGTCCATCTGTTCTCACAAGGTCCAGTCTGATTTAGTTTCTTCTCACCATCAAATAAAAGACGGAAAATGGAACGATGTCGTTGACGAGAAGAGACGGGACTCACGTTGAAGTCTTCATCATCACAGTGGGCTTCACCTCCTCCTCCACCATGGTTCTCCTCCTGCTCCTCTCCAGTCCATGTGTCCCAGTTCCAGTTGTCTGTCACACACACACACACACACACACACTTTGGATTTATTACACACACTAAACTGTTATATGTCTTAGTGGAAGACAAACCCGTCCTCACCTTCATCATCCTCAAACTGAGGCTTTTCCTCTTCGTCTTCTCCATAATAATCATCACCAAAAATGTTCTACCAAAAACAAAGAATA